GTTTCCACAGACATGTAACATCCGGATGCCAAAACTGGGCAGTGATCCCCGTGGCCATCAATCCTGCCTTGTTTTCTAGACAGGAGACTTCCTTCAGTGTTGGAAGCTTATCATGGACCTAGGGCTGCTTCCTTACTGTTTCTCTGCACATCTTTCCACAGCTTAGCTCTCTCTACCTCTGCTCTCTATCACATTTCATATCACACTATCATATTTCATATCACACTATCATATTTCATATCACACTCTCATCTCCCTCATCACTGATCATTTGCTCCTTCTTCTTCTCCAACCCCACTATGCAATGAGTTATCTTTGTGGATTCTTTAAATTCTAACTCCATACTGGCATTTGAGCCATTATGGAGACTGATGGAGAATAATATAGGAAACAAGAGAAAACAAAATTTTCTTAACATTTTAAGCAAAACTGCTGATAAATTTTTATACTAATTTAGGGAGTAGATCTTCTACTAACAGATTAATATTTTCCCTCTAATAGTGGAAATATTGCACATAAGCAAAACTACAATCCCCTATATATAGCAACTTATTAGCATATTTGGATTGAGCTTAATTATGTGATAAGGACAATTTCTCCCCACTTGAAAAGAAACAGGAAAGGGAAAAGTGGACCTTTATTGATGTTTACAATGATGATGTTTACTTGTTTACAGGATCTTTCCTGAACATTAGAATTCTTAACCCATCCAGACATAAAATCAGTGTGGTAGTGATTAAGACCACAGTTTCTGCAATCAGACTGTTTAGGCTCAAGTCGGCTTTTCCCGTTACCACCTATGGTGAATTTGATAAGTTTTTAACTTGCCATTGCTCCAGCTTTAAAATGAGAATACTGGTAGTTCATAGGGTTGTTGTGAGAATTACGTAAGTTGATGTGAAAATAGTACTTAAATCCCTTCCTGGGATATGAGACTTTATATATGAAACACTATAAAAATGTATAATTGAAGACAAGTGTAAGAGCTCTTTTAAAATTACCTTATTTATAGTTTTAGGGCATTTGGGGGGTGGGGAACTTCCTCCAGTGGCCTTTACCTGTCCAAAAGTGACGTTTATACTTGTTCTATACTGTTGACGCTAGGAGATTCTTAGTAACCTACTTGTAAAGAAATGCTTTATAAAGTAGTTTATCAGTTTGAAAATTATTAGATATTCCTCCTAGAAGTCAAAGACCACATTCAAAGCAAATTATATGCATGTTTCCTAAAACCGTTAATGTGCTAATCTGTTAGTTTCCTGATCTAGGCAAAATGCCATAGTATTGCACAAGAGCAACACACCATCATTCCTGAAGATTTCACATAAATATTACCCACTGTGCTTCACATTTCCAAGTATTATCCTTCCAGTGAAAGTCAACAAGCTGGAACTGGCATTGGGAACAGTAGAATGATTTCACCTCAAATTACAACCCTAAGTCCTTCTAATAAGGAAACGTTGGCTGATTAGACTATTAATTCTTTTACTCTAGTACAGTTTGATTCTGCATTTTAACAATGAAACCATGACTTGTGAGACACATCTACTACTTTTCTCTTGGGAAAGATTGCTAAATATTTCTGGGGTTCATGGATAGTGCTGTTGAATGTTAGGCAAAGGGAGAAGCCATCATTTAGCCACTGAGAGTGTATGTTTGATGTGACAGAAGAATGAGGCAGAAACAGTACCAAAGAACAGGGTGAAAAGCTGCTTTGGTTATACTCTGGGAAGACTGTGAGGGGAAAGGATGGAGCCAACAGGACAGGGAATCATATCCCTTCCCTCTCATGGCTGTGTCTTATTTTATTGTTACAAACTCTGATGATTTTCCCTTCTTAGTATAGTTGTGAATGTCTCACCTTAGCTGAAATTAGGAGATTCTCAAACATTCAGGTTTGGTACAGTTTCTAAGATTTTATGTCTGGCGCATGCATGCTCAGTCACTCAGTGGTGTCTGACTCTTTGCCACCCCGTGGACTATAACTTGCCAGGCTCCTCTGTTCATGGGATTTTCCAGGCAAGAATACTGGAGTGCATTGTCAATTCCTCCTCAAGGGGATCTTCCTAATCTAGGGCTCTAAACCCAAGTCTCCTGCATCTCCTGCCTTGGCATGCAGATTCTTTACTGTTGAACCACCTGGGGAGCCTTTCCATTCCCAGTCTTGAATAAATGGTTACAATTGTATGTGCTCAAGTTTTTCCTTTCCTTCTTTCTCCACTCCTTCCTCCCTCCCTCCTTCCCTCGCTTCCTTCCTTCCCTTTTTCTTTTCTTTTACTTCTTATTTTATCCCAAGCGACTTGCCTGTTAAAAATAATAATGATAATTCAAGCATAACTGGGTTTACAGGATTTCAGGATTAGCATGATGCTACATGATTGTTTTTGAGGGTTAACAATCAAACCATAGGTAGGGCATTTAGACATGTCCACATGCCCATCCTTGGCCACAAAAATCCCTTTTGCTTCAAATGCACTATACTGCTTTATAATCTGCAACTTGGCATAATTGACAGGCTTGAATTTTGCCTCAGGACTAAGTCACAAGATAGCTTTTCTTGCTCTCTACCCAGTAGGACAGGAGCCAGACATCCTGGAAAGTGAAGTCAAGTGGGCCTTAGAAAGCATCACTATGAACAAAGCTAGTGGCAGTGATGGAATTCCAGCTGAGATATTTCAAATCCTGAAAGATGATGCTGTGAAAGTGCTGCACTCAATATGCCAGCTAATTTGGAAAACTCAGCAGTGGCCACAGGACTGGAAAAGGTCAGTTTTCATTGCAATCCCAAAGGAAGGCAATGCAAAATAATGCTCAAACTACCACACAAGTGCACTCATCTCACACACTAGTAAAGTAATGCTCAAAATTCTCCAAGCCAGGCTTCAGCAATACGCGAACTGTGAACTTCCAGATGTTCAAGCTGGTTTTAGGAAAGGCAGAGGAACCAGAGATCAAATTGCCAACGTCTGCTGGATCATCAAAAAAGCAAGATAGTTCCAGAAAAACATCTATTTCTGCTTTATTGACTATGCCAAAGCCTTTGACTGTGTGGATCACAATAAACTGTGGAAAATTCTGAAAGAGATGGGAATACCAGACCATCTGACTTGCCTCTTGAGAAACCTATATGCAGGTCAGGAAGCAACAGTTAGAACTAGACAGGGAACAACAGACTGGTTCCAAATAGGAAAAGGAGTGTTTCAAGGCTGTATATTGTCACCCTGCTTATTTAACTTATATTTAGAGTATATCATGAGAAACGCTGGGCTGGATGAAGCACAAGCTGGAATCAAGATTGCCAGGAGAAATATCAATAACCTCAGATATGCAGATGACACCACCTTTATGGCAGAAAGTGAAGAGGAACTAAAAAGCATCTTGATGAAAGTGAAAGAGGAGAGTGAAAAAGTTGGCTTAAAGTTCAACATTCAGAAAACTAAGATCATGGCATCTGGTCCCATCATTTCATGGGAAACAGATGGGGAAACAGTGGAAACAGTGTCAGACTTTATTTTGGGGGGCTCCAAAATCACTGCAGATGGTGACTGCAACCATGAAATTAAAAGACGCTTACTCCTTGGAAGGAAAGTTATGACCAACCTAGATAGCATATTAAAAAGCAGAGACATTACTTTGCCAACAAAGGTCCATCTAGTCAAGGCTATGGTTTTTCCAGTGGTCATGTATGGATGTGAGAGTTGGACTGTGAAGAAAGCTGAGTACCGAAAAATTGATGCTTTTGAACTGTGGCGTTGGAGAAGACTCTTGAGAGTCCCTTGGACTGCAAGGAGATCCAACCAGTCCATCCTGAAGGAGATCAGTCCTGGGTGTTCATTGGAAGGACTGATGCTGAAGCTGAAACTCTGGTACTGTGACCACCTCATGTGAAGAGTTGACTCATTGGAAAAGACCCTGATGCTGGGATGGATTGGGGGCAAGAGGAGAAGGGAATGACAGAGGATGAGATGGCTGGATGGTATCACCGACTTGATGGACATGAGTTTGAGTAAACTCTGGGAGTTGGTGATGGACAGGGAGGCCTGGTGTGCTGTGGTTCATGGGGTCGCAAAGAGTCAGACACGACTGAGCAACTGAACTAAACTGAACCCAGTAGGAAGGCTCTGTAATCCTTTGGGCCTCTCATGGCTAAACTCTGTCACTCTTTTGCCAATAGCATCTGCTCCTCTCTGAGAGAGAAAGTCATCAAGTTTTAGGAAAAAAGAGCTAAATCTATCATTTATGGTGGATTGACCCTCTAGTAAGTGCTTTATATAAATTACCTTAGAATTAGGGGTTATTGATTCTATCTCTGCCTTATATTTGGCATAATAAATATAAGGGTGACCTGGTGAATGAATGAAAGTTATTTACAAGCTATTAAATAGTTGGTGGGCTTCCCCGGTGGCTCAGAGGTAAATTATCCACCTGTCAGTACAAGGGACTTGGGTTTGATCCCTGGAGTGGGGAGATCCCCTAGAGAAGGAAATGCAACCCACTCCAGTATTCAAGCCTGGAGAATACCACGGACAGAGGAGCTTGTTGGGCTACAGTCCATGGAATCACAAAGAGTCGGACAGGATTGAGTGACTAAACAACAACAATAACAAAATAATTGGTGCCAAAGTCTCATCTACTGGCATGTGTGGGGCTTGCTTATTATGTTCTCTCCATGTTAGCTTGACTATTGATGATGTTCATTTCATATGTCTATCAATTATAATGTTGTTATTCTGACTATAAAATCAATTATATAATATATATATTATATATAATTGAAGAAAATTTGGAAAATTACCTAGAGATGTAAATAATAACGCTCATAATCTCAGAAATAACATCCTTCAACATTTTGCTGATTTTCCTTTAGCATTTTTTTTAATACCCCAACGTTTGCAACCAAACTGGAGTCTGTAATTAACATATGGCTTTGTCTTCTGTTTTTGTCTAGTTAGGTTTATATGGTGAGAATTGGATGGTCTCAAATACGCGTCCAAAACACGATGTGTAAGGCTACACATCTCCTACCTTCTTTTGGTTTGCACTATCATTTCCGTTATCAGCCCGCAGTGATTCTGAGCCTCACTCTCGGTGACAACGGTGGGATAAAATTCCGTCCTTCTCAGACCTCCTGCCTCAGTTCGGAAGGAAACCGCTTGAATGATTCCGCAGAGAAAGAAAGGGCAGAGCACAGCTGGCCTCACACTCCTTTGCCCTGAGAACCCTGCGGTCAGAAAACGAAAGGATCTCGGTTTGTCCCAGTGATGAGCTTCTCCTTCAGTCTTTCGGCTCCGGACTCCCAAAGAATAAAGTCACACAAAGCTCTCCTCCCAGGCGCTCCCCGACCCAGCTGTCCCCTGCTTCTCTGGGCATCGCGCTGCCGCCGACGCCCCGCTCTTTCCTCTTCCTGACCTGCTCCCGGTCCTCTTTCCTTCCCGTCTGGGTAGTCTCCAAGTCTCTAAGTCTCTTCCTTAATGCTTCCCCTGTTCTCCACTCCATCAGTCGCTACTTCCTCAATCCTTTGTAGACGTCGGTTCTTCTCTTTTTAGTCATTTGAGGAGTCATTTGATTTGTTCATGTTTCAAGCTTCCTTACCAGGTAATGAAGGTGCTTATTCATCTTTGTAGACATTCAGTCAATGTTGCATGGTTGGAAGATGGATTAAAAAAAAAGAATAAGTGAACAAATGATCCACTCCGAAATTACAGGAGCAGAATTATGCTATGTTTTCTCCGGGAAGCATTGTAGAACGGGGGTTTCCACTTGGATGGAAATGCCATCTTTTGTGTGTTTACAAATCTACACTAAGTATTTCAGATGTGCTACATACATCCACAGAGATATCCAGTCTGTCCACTTCTGCGGCCTCATTTCACATCTCAGTGTTCCCATGCCAGCCTGCTCTGCAAGATTCCCCTGCACCAGGCTTAGACCCTCCATGGGGCATTTGCATCTGCTGGTTCCCACCTAGCACTTTCATCCCTTTATTCCTTGTGATGTTAGCTTCCACAAATCCTCAGAACTGCGCTCCTCCCAACCAGTACTCATTTCCTTAGGGAAGGCTTTTCTGATTCCATTTACTAATAGTAATGAAAATAACAGTGAATGTCAGTCATAATAGTTAGCATTTATTGAGATCATGCTCTATGACAGGTACTGTTATGAGCACTTACATTGATCATCTCATATAATCCCCCACAACAGGGAGACAGGGACCATTATTAACCTCATTTAAAGATAAAAAAAAGTAACACATATGATAATTTACATGTTTCAATGCCATTCTCCCATATCATCCCACTCTCACCCTCTCCCACAGAGTCCAAAAGACTGTTCTATACATCTGTGTCTCTTTTGCTGTCTCACATACAGGGTTATCGTTACCATCTTTCCAAATTCCATATATATGTGTTAGTATACTGTATTGGTGTTTTTCTTTCTGGCTTACTTCACTCTGTATAAAGGACTCCAGTTTCATCCACCTCATTAGAACTGATTCAAATGTATTCTTTTTAATGGCTGAGTAATATTCCATTGTGTATATGTACCACAGCTTTCTTATCCATTCGTCTGCTGATGGGCATCTAGGTTGGTTCCATGTCCTGGCTATTATAAACAGTGCTGCAATGAACACTGGGGTGCATGTGTCTTTTCAATTCTGGTTTCTTCTGTGTGTATGCCCAGCAGTGGGATCGCCAGTCCAGGTTTGATGCATGAGACAGGGTGCTCGGGGCTGGTACACTGGGATGACCCAGAGGGATGGGATGGGGAGGGAGCTGGGAGGGGGGTTCAGGATGGGGAACACATGTACTCCCATGGCAGATTCATGTCAATGTATGGTAAAACCAATACAATATTATAAAGTAAATTTAATTAATTAATTAATTAAAAATAAATAAAAAATAAAAATGCAACAGCAGCATTTGAATAGACTCATAGTACATTTAAATAAATAATAAAATGTAAAACAAAAAAAAGGACTACATCAAAGAAAAAAGCCTTACTGAACAACAAAATAAATATTAAAGGCAACCTATAAAATGTGAGAAAATATTTGCAAACCATACATCTTATAAAGAATTAATAGCCAAACTAGTAGAGAACTTACAACTCAGTAAAAAGAACAACAACCTGATTAAAATGGGCAGAGGAACTGAATAGACATATTCGAAAAAGACACACAAATGGCCAACAAGTGCATACCAAGGTTCTCAATATTACCAGTTGTCAAGAAAAAAAAAAGTAACACAACATTGTAAATCAACTATAACTCAATAAAAACAACAAGAAAAAGATTCACCTGTCGATAGGCATTGAGGCTACTTCTCTGTCTTGACTGGAGTAGGGAATGGCAATCCACTCCAGTATTCTTGCCTGGAGAATTTCATGGACAGAAGCTTGGTGGGCTACAGTCCATGGGATGGCAAAGAGTTGGACATGACTGAGCGACTCACACACAGACACACTCACACATGTCTTGGCTATTGTAATTAGTGTTGCTATGAACACTGGGGTCCATGCATCTTTTTGAATTAGAGTTTTCTCCAGATACATGCTCAGGAGTGGGATTGCTGGATCATATGGCAACTCTATTTTTTGTTTTTAAAGAAACGTCCATACTGTACTCCTAAATGTCCATCAATAGATGAATGGATAAAGAATATGTGGTATGTATATATATGTACACAACATGTGTATATACACATATATATAAACATATATATATAGTGGAATATTACTCAGCCACAAAAAGAATGAAATACTGCCATTTGCAGCAACATGGACGTACCTAGAGGCAATCATACTAAGTGAACTGAATCAGACAGAGAAAGATGTATATCACATGATATCACTTAATGTATGGAATCTTTAAAAAATGGTGCAAATGAACTTATCTACACAACAGAAGTAGATTCACAGACATAGAAAACAAACTTACAGATACCAAAGGGGAAAGGGCAGGAAGAGATAAATTAAGAATTTAGAATTGACAGATATACATGACTATAGATCAAATAGATAAACAATGAGGACCTATTGTATAGCAGAGGAAACTATATTAGGTATCTTGTAATAGCCTATAATGGAAAAGAATCTGAAAAAGAATCTATATATGCATACATATGTATGTATATCTGAATTACTTTGCTGTATACTTGAAACACTGTAAATCAACTGTACTTCAAAAAAAATTAAAAATAGATAAAAATAAGAAAATGAAGTTCAGAGTAATTAGGCAGTGTATCAAAACTAACACAGATGAAGCACACTAAGTTTTCAGTCATGCATCCTCTTCAGAATTATTATCCCAAGTGCAATTCAATATTCATTTGCATGAGTTGTTGATTAATGTCCCTGTAATCCAGCAGATTGTAAACTCAGTAGCATCACTATACCTCTGTTCCTTTTACAGAGCCAGATGCTGTTTAGATAATCAGTAAGCACTTGTTGAATGAAAGTATTCTTTTTTTGTTTGATCCAATATTTTAGGCTGGTATTCATCCAGGCAGTGTTACTATTTCTCTATTAACTGTCAGAAGGAAGCTTTAATAGCACGTATTAGCATGAACCCCTTTTGTTCAAGTTCTATTTCTCACCTTGCCATCTGCCATGATAGTTGATGTATGCTGATGTCCAGACAACTGGTCTCACAGAGACATCCCTGTTAATCACATACACACTCTGGCTACGAAGGATGTTATTTCAGCCCCAACAGCCTGATATCTGTTTAGTGATACAGTGAGTTGCTGCATATAATCCTGAAACAATATACTTTGTCATTGGAAAAACTGTTCCGCAGTATGTTTGCCTTTTGGCCCAGTGGCAGTGTTATGTCAGTCTTCAGGAATGTATCTTTTGTATCCAAAAGCAAATTTAGCTCAGAGAAATGTTATCAGCAGTTCACCAAGAGGTTTAATTGTATGCTTTGAATGACAGAAGAGGGGAAACCCTAAAAATTCAAGTTAAATCTGTTAAGCTGAACATCCTGGGTTTGGTTGGCTGCCAAAATACATCATGATAAGAGTTTCATAAGCTAATAATGGAGGAGATTAAATTGGTGTCCATTACAACTTTGTGGAAAGCTATTTCTTTGCATTAAGACTTAACAGCTGAACTGAATAAAATAGTCACCCTTCAATTTTTGTGTTTCATTTAACTATAATTGTTGTTTTGGCCCATGGACCCAATTTTCTTCATAGTGTCTTGACACCATTGTTTCATCAAAAATGTGTAAATTCTATGTAGCAGACTCTATGTGAGATCCTTTCCTTGGATATGGGAAGTATGTACTGGAAAAACGGGATACCAAATAAACTGTGTTTGAACTTATAAAGTATCTGTGGGTGGTGATTTTCACTGAAAATGAGATTTTGCTACTTCTTAACTACTCACTGATGAACCTCTTTGTTGGCTGTGTCTACCTAGCTACTGGGTCTAAGTTCTGTGGCCAACTAAGTGGTCTAGACACACACACATTTTTCCTGCTGTATACAGTTAATCTGATGAGTTTAGTTTCTCTTGGTACTTTACTATTTATCTTTAAAAATGTAGAGTATAATACATGCTTATCTAATTGCAGAAGTGTTAGAAATGTAGCAACATTCTCAGAATTTCAAATAATACTCTAGAAAGCAGGGATTCCACACACATTGACTGAACTAGCATTTTCTAGGAGTTATATAAAGAATCTGCCTGCAATGCAGGAGACCCAGTCTCGATCCTGGAGGAAGATTCCCTGGAATAGGAAATGGCAACCCAGTCCAGTATTCTTGCCTGGAGAATCCCCATGGACAGAGGAGCCTGGTGGGCTACAGTCCATGGGGTCACAAATAGTCGGACACAACTGAGCGACTAACACATTCAGTTTCACTTTTCAGGAGACAGTGGTAAAGAATCCATTATTGGTAAAGAACTAGCTAGTGATAAAGAACCCATTTGCCAATGCAGGAGACATAAAGAGTTATGGGTTCGATCCCTGGGCTGGAAAGATCCCCTGGAGGAGGGCATGGCAGCCCACTCCAGTGTTCTTGCCTAGAGAATACCACGGACAGATGGAGCCTGAACAACCAGAAGGTTGTTCAGAGTTGCATATGATTGAAGCGACTTAGCACGCATGCACAGAAGTTATATACATCTATATCTGGGGTCTATTCCTTACAGACCTTATAGGCAACAATTTGAAGTAATCTTGGGTTAATCACTTTCATCTCCTGTTTTC